GGGGCGGGGCGGGGCGCGCGCCACCGCGAGTGTCACACTCTGCTCTCTGCTCTGGAGGAAAGGGGCCGCGGCGCTTGGTAACTGTCAGCCGCGCCCAACGTGGGAGCGTCGCGGTGGGCCAAAGAGCAGTACAAGCGCTACCTGCAAACACCGCCCTGGTGGAGTGGAGAGGAGGCCCTCCTGCTGCTGATTAAACGCACCCCACCAAAGACCGAGCGCGAGGCGACCGCCCCACAGTCCCCACGCGCCAGATCGCCGCGTACGCCGCGCCGGGGGTGTGTGTGGTGGTGGTGGTGCGCGCACTCAGACCACTTGTTAGTCCGCGCCGAAGGAAAAACGAAGTTATTGTGCCAATGAAGCCAACAAAATGTTGGTCCCGTCAACTAAACTTTTATCGCCTTGATTAGATGATTTAGCCACGTTGATAAAGGTATGGTGTAATCGGTTTCACAAATAATAATTAGTTCAAAAACCAGACACAAACTTGAGGGCCCACTCTGTACTAAATAGAGTGTGAAGGAGGGAAAGGGAACTTAGCCCTCTGGTAGAGACAGTCTTTAGAGGATTGTCTAAAAAAAATATTTAACGTTTCTTTGGCTTAAAGAAGTGAATTTCGTTCCTCACCACTTTGTTTTGGTTCTGCTGATTAATAGATTTTTTGCGGCGGTGCGCGCAAGGTGCGTGAGGTGCGCTGGGGTGCGCCGTTGCGCCGTAGTGCGAGGGGTGCGAGGGGTGCGCGGGTTGCGCAGGGGTGCGCATGGGTGCGTGGGGTGCCGGGGTGCGTTGCGTGGGGGTGCGTGTCGCTGTCGCGTGCCACCCGGCCGAGCGTTGCGTCGTCGCCTTGGCAACCGGGCGCCGGGCGTCGACGTATTTAGCCGCCCCGCGACCGCCAAGCTCCGCCACGGCATTCGTGGACCTCACTCGCTTCGCTTCGCAACTTTGCACAGAGATAAAGCGGAGCTTTGGCGCCTGTTTCGGCCCGGGTGCAAGCGGCCCGCTGCTGCTGCCGGTAGGTGTGACTGGCGCGGGTCAATGGAACGGCAGCTCCCGCCTCATCAACGTCGTCGAGGATAACCGTGGCACACACAGCGGCCGCTTCTGCCTGCACGCGTGGGGCGAATAACCAGAGCAGGGCCGGGGCCGGGGGGAGTGGCGTTGGCGGGCGAGCTGCTCTGCTCCTCTTGCATATTGTTTGCAGAGCCACCTCGCCTTGCCACCCCGAAAAGAGTGACACAGTGACTCGTGCTCAGCTCCCGTTTGCTTATCGTCGCCTGCCTCCGCCGACATGGATGCAGGCGTGCCGTTAATCCGGCGTCGACATTCATGGCCCCCAGGTTAGGGTGGCGGCGCTAGGCGGAAGGTAAACACTGCAGACTGCAGAGGTCGCCGTGACTTTGAATAGATTTTGGTCCTGTCGCGGTGGGCGGCAGGCCCCGGTGGCAGGGCTCAAACTCACCCGCCAGTGTGGAGCAGCGCACGGGGCGAACCCGCCGACGACGGCCACCTTGGAGCCGCCGAGGGAGATACGGACGGAAACGGGCGGCGGTAGAGGTTAGGGTTGCGTGGCCGTCTGGGACGCAAGGCTAAGGCTGGCTAGCACACTGACACAGACCTCCGCTAGAGCTATTCCCACCCCCACGAGGAGGGGGGGGGGG